CTGACCCTGCCCCTCGCCTTCCCTGTAGCCACATTATTACTGAGAATTGTCCTTCGGAACAAGGGAGTTAGTGGTTGAAAGTAATGGTATGTGACTGAGAACCCCAGCTCTAACTTTAACCACTGTGTGGACTTGGGCCAGTTGCCTGTTACCTCATCTCTAGATCACCTTCACTGCATGGCTGTGAAGGAGACACAGGAGTAATGTCGGGTGAGTGTCTGAGGAAGGGGCTGCCATGGCTTCAGATGATAAGGTTAACTGACAGCTTGTCCCATGGCCAAGCCCTCCCATGCCTCTGACCCTCTTCTGCATTTCCAGACACGGGAGACACTGTGGACCAGAGCTGAGGGGCAGCGGCTCAACATCTTCCCCACATGGGAGGCCTAGGCAGCTGACTGAGTGGCAGCTCCCAAGCCTCCCTGTCTCCAGAGGTGACTCTCAACCACCACACTCACAAGAACAGCAGAGGTACGAAGGGGTGGAGGAGGCGGCGGAAGTGATGTGGCCAAGGAGCCACTGTAAGGACTGGACGCTGTGCTGACAGAGGCACTGGGAGACTAGGACCACGGGTCCCCATCAGTCCAAGAGTGACTTAGCACCCTTAGGGTTCAATCCAAACTCTGTCCCATAACCCACAGGACCTCAGGCTGTCCTTGAGGGCCTGCTCTCTCCATTCTCTATTCTTTTGCATTTGTTGCTTCCTGCCCGCTCCCTGTCCTCTGCTCAGCTGTGTATCTCATCTACAGTAACCCCCGTTATTCATGCCATTAGCATACACTCTGTCATACATCCATCTTTCATTGTCTGTGTCGCCAGGAAGGTGGAGCTTCCTGGATGGTACCTGGCACAGAGTATACTCTAGAAATACGGATCTGTGGGATAAATGTGGAGTCCTGGTGTGGCGCTGTGGATAAGCACTTAATCTTCGGAAGGTCCGTTTGAACCACAAGGTCGATGGTTCAAACCCACCAGTTGCTCTTTGGAAAAAACCTATATAGGGCCGCTGTGGGTCGGAACCAGCTCGATGGCACTGAACAACAACAGAATGAATGAGTGAATGGATGAGAAGGCAAATAAACAAGCGAATGATTGAATTGATGAATGAATGAATGAGGGAAAGTGAATGAGACACTGTGTGAATGAATGAGTGTATGAGTGTGTGAATGAGTGAATGAGCATGAGAGTGAACATGTGCAAGCCTCTGACTGAGGGTGCTCTCTTGCCAAGGCCAGGGCCATGTCACCCTCCTGGCCTTGACCTCCCCACTGATGCCAGGGCCTCCCCAAGTCCCTAGTGAGCTCGCTATTCAATGAGCAGCCAGGGGGCTCTGCCAAGCTATGCCAATAACAGGTCCATCTTTGATATGGGGCCACTCGATCCTCTGCATGATGGGGTTAACAACACCCCTCCACCCCTGAGGGGCTGTTCACAGGCATGGGTGCAGGAATCAGTCCAGACAGGTGGGGTGTGCAGTGCCTCTACAGTGCACCAGGCCAAGAGTCAGGGACAGTGCTGGTGGCTCTTTACACAGCCCTTGTCTTAGGCAACCACAGTAAACGGAAGTGACAGTGACTAGCCCACCGTATGATCTTTATTTCATGGACCAGCATGGGGTGAGGCAGCTTCCGAGGGCCTACCATTTCACAGAGGCAAGTGTCACTCTGTGGATTTAGTCTCTACAGGAAAAGGACAGCCCCTTAATTCTCAAAAACAAAAATTCCACTGCCAAAGAGCAAGCCTCGAGTGAGTAGGCAGCCTGCCTCCTCACAGGTAGGGGCAGTAGAGCCAGCTTCTGGGAGCATCTGGAGATGGGAAGAGGATGGGATAGAAGACCCTACCCCCTACTCTCCCCACCCCTACACAGACACCCCTGCACCCCTCCCCCTTTCTTCTCTCTCCTGTTTCAACTGGGAGAACAAGCAATTAGACTTCTAGAACCACTGTTTCTTCCCAAAGTGCCAGCTGCATGGGTGATTTTTCAAAGTGCTGCCTGTCTAGGGCTTGACAGCGCCTCAGGTGTGCGAGCTGGGAGAGTCCCAGACTTCATGAAAGCAGCCTGCAGATCCGTCACTCACCAACGCCCACCCGTCCCTGCGAGACAAACTCCTGCCCTCTGCCTGGAACTTCACAGAAGAATCTGACTCACCTTGTAATGGCGGGGAACAATCACTCTCTGGGGGACTGCAAGATCTGGGGAGGGATAATCTTTATAAGGAGCACTGGTATGGTGCATTGGATTAATGCGCTAGACTGCAAAGTTGTTTGAACTGCAAGGTCGGCAGTTCAAGCTCACCAGCTGCTCCTCGGAAACCCTATATAGGGTTACTATGGGTCAGAACTGACTCGACAGCACTTAACAACAACCTTTAAAGGAGTCCGGGTGTGGCGCTGTGGGATAATGTGTCGGACTACAAACTCAGATTAAACTGGTCTGGGGGCTGATCTAGACCCGCACGATGATCTCTGATCTCGCTGACCCAAGGCCAACAGCCCAGCTTAGAAACACACCAGTTCCTTAAAGTTCTTTCTGTTCCTTTCTCACCTAACTCCCAAGGCACTCTGAGAGGGGGTGGGCAAGTCCAACAAATAAGGAAACAAATGCCCAGAGGCTGAATGACGTGACCAAGGTCACAGGGTCAGCTGGCAGTGAAGCTAGGAACATATCTATTTTATCCCAATTTAAATATATATATA